AATGAGATGCACCCACGGACCAATCAGACACAATCAGACCCATCAGCCAATCAGAAGCCAGAGCTGACACAAGGAGCTTGTGCATTTTGGAAATGCGATCTGTATTGACCTGTGTACCGTCTCAGCTTCTGGACCTGAAATCAGCAGAATGTACTCTTGTAAGTGTGTGTGTGTTCTGTATTGTCTGGCTGGCTGGGGTCTGATCAGCTAAAGTTGCTTGGTGATCAATACTCAGCAGAGTCACACAGCTGTGCCCTAACCATTAACGCCTGAGCAGCAATTAGTGTCCACACTGACCGCTCACACACACACATACACACTCCCATCTGCCATTGTATTTCTTTACCTCTCCTTACATCCACTCATCTGTCTTGGGACGACAGGAAGAAAAGCAGTCGCAGGTTTTTTCCAATCTTTTGTCTAAATCGACAACATTAGACAACAAAACAAACACAATACGATAATTTATGGAACTGACAAATATTTCGACATGTGGTATTAGAGCTTGCTAGATTTTAGTTTTGTCCCATATGAAAGAAATTAAGATCTTTTTAATATCTCAGATATTTCTCCTAGATCATTCTCCTATATATATATATATATATATATATATATATATACATATATATTAGTGTATAAAACAGTATATACAGTATACATACTCTATATAGAGTATATAGAGAAATATGTAAATAAAACAGATTATGATTTACAGAAAAAATACTATTTGTGAGTATATTTCTAAATACTATTGCTAAGTCTTTCTACTTTAAAATGTGATGTTTAATTAAATGTGTTACTTGCTGTTATTTTGTAATTATTTGTGAAATTTACTAGCAATTTCTGAGTGAAAAATTTTCAAAGTATGTGAATAGAATTTGATGTAGAAGCAGTTTTCACTAAGAATCTGCTAGTACATTTCTGAACGTGTCAAGTAGCACACTGAATTAAACATGAAATGTAATGGTGTTTTCTTGTGAAAAGTACTTCAATAATCGTGGTTTCATTTACAACTTAAGAAAATCATTTACAGCGTGCACCCTTTTTTTCAGTGAAGATTGATACTCTTATTTTAATTCAACAATTTACTCTTTATTTTGTCAGTAATTTTAAGATATACATAAAATCTGAGTTATGAAAGTGCAATAATACTTTCCTCTGATTTTCAAATTGTTAATTTTTGTCATCGCTGTCATCTGTAGTTAACCTGCTACAGTTTTCATTGATGATGCAAAATGCATCGATAGTTCAAGATGATGTACAAGAGTAACCTTACAATTATGACCAGGGTTATGGGACAGAAGCATCACCCCCTGCATTTATTTGTTTTTGCGTCTTTTGTGCTGAATGAAGTGGGATTAGTGTGAAGGAGAGGCTGGGAGGGGGGCTTCTCCTTTGAATGAGGGCAGGAAAACGATCCAATGATGGTTTGGGTTAAGATAAGAGCTAAAGGCTGTTATTGAGCTGATGTGCTTGAAACGTACCTCTTTTTTCCTCTCAATTACCTCAGTCTGTGAAGCCAAAGTCCTTTCAAACGACAAGCCCCCCGTCTTCTTTCTCTCTCGCTCTCGCTCTCTCTCTCTCTCACTCTCACATGCGCTCGTCCGCCACCATCATAAGGATTCGGCCCCTCTGGTCAGAAAGAGCTGTGAAGGACAGGTTGTATTAATTACTCCGTGCCAGCCGGCCAGATCATTTTATCACAGATTTGTCGACAAGTTGCAGTGGAAGCTAACAGTCGAATGCCTCCGGTGAAGAACAAAAGCGAGGGAAGAAGGGTCTCTGATGTGAAATTAAACACGTCTGTTTTGCTTTTTTTCCCCCTCCGACAAACCAAATTCGTGTCTTGTGTAATTGATAACTGCTTCGGCCAATTATTTTGCACGTTACAATACACAGAGGCCCCCTTTCGCTGCTACAGTTCTTCCATAATTAGCTATGCTAATATCCCTTTATTGGCCTTAATATTGCTCAACATCTCCATGGCATCCATAGGCCACCAGAGTCCTGTGTCCTGTCACAAATGCTGATTATTGAGAAGGATAGCTTTAATCAAACATAATTGCAGTTAATTTTTTCTTCCCTTCCTTGCTCTCCGTTGCCAGCATCTAATGCTGCGTTCTCCTTGATATTCCATTAAATGACTATTTAACTGCCTTCTTTATTTCCGACGGTCGCGAACATCGCCGCAAAGTTCTGGAGTCATTTAGAGAGAGCAAAAGGGAGAGAAAACCGTGTGGCTGTAATTGCTTGCCTTTTCACAAAGGACTAATTTACTCAATCCCCATGCAGAAGTGAAACTGCTCTAATTCAGATGAAATTACGGTGCTGTTGTGGACAGCAGCTGAATATCATTGTGCTCAGAAAGCAGCGGAAATTCACTTAATCAAACTCGGAGGTAAACAGACCCCAAGCGAATGCGCGCAACCGCTGAACACAGTCTTAATGAGAGCGTGTGTGTTTTTGAACGCTTTTATACGTTTGCCTGTTGGTGATAATACCCTGCAATTTCGTTTATAATTAATCTAATTTAGTGATTTTCTTTGACATTAATTGTAAACATGTTTGGCTATAATAGGTGATTTCATTTTTTTATGTCATTTACAATAGAATGACAGGAAATTGTTGGAGATGGACTGAAACCTGCACTGTTCACATGACCATATATATATACAGTATATATATATATACACATGTATTTTTATTTTTGTACCACAGCTCACATTGTAAATGTACTTGAAATGCATTCCGAGTTTTATTATGTACCTCTAGGGTTCTTCATGTTTTTGCTGTATCTATTGAAATTGATGCGGTCCATCTCACTTTCAAACCTCCGAATGGGTGCTTTGCAATAATCTTTGAGTTAGCACAAGTGTGTCCACCTGTGTACATGTGTGTGAAGCCATTTGTTTGTGGCTATAGAGTGAGGAAAAAAAACAAGTGTGAGAGAGATAGCGAGTGAGAGAGGTAAATAAAGGCTATATTTCAGGCTTGATTTACTCCGATACCTGCTGTGAAACATTACAGCTCTATGGGGAAATAAAGACAAGGGCCGCGAATTACAGCTCGTAATACTCATTCTGATAATGGCCTGTCCAACAACTACCATACACACACTGTACACAATTAAAGCTTTAATGCTTTAATGACGGCAGACGCGTTTTTGGCCTCTTCTGGCCGTTATGACTGCCATCTTTCTTTACGCCTACCCTAGCAATGCTGAAATTCACTTTTTATTGACGCCGGTCACAAAAATTTTTCTGAAACTACCAAGGCCACCTTCGGGGCCCTTGCTTCGCCTTTCTCCGACTTTTCCTCAATCTGTCTCAATCCTAAACATTCCCTCTCTGTCGGGAGGAAAGGGTGACTGTATATAAATGAGAATTGGAAGTGGAGGGGTGTTCAGGGTTACAGATGTCATTTCACACAATGATATATTGCTCGGCTCGCGGTCCCATCGGAGAGTCCGAATGAGAGACTTCATCCTGCATACACACACTGTTTACCTAGTGAAATACATGTGTTAACTCAACACTGAACACAATCTGCAATGCATGACACAGTAGCGTGGACGCAAGCGAGAACGAGGGACCTTTACGCCGTACGTATTGCCTCTCAAGGGTTGAAACGCTGAGGTAAATATTGGTGGACATGGACATCCATATACAAAGACAAATTTCCCACATGCTGGATATTTCTGGATGAACCGTGGCCCCTTTTAAGAAAAGTTAGCTCACTCTGCGACCATATTGGTGTTTTCCAATAGGTCAGACAAAAATTTCCAAAACTGTTTGTCAAAATTGAATATGCATATGTCAAATCTATCTATCTATCTATCTATCTATCTATCTATCTATCTATCTGTGGTTCTGTCTATCCATCCATCCATCCATCCATCCATAGTTTTATCATTCCATCCAACCATCAATCCATATTTTTATCATTCAATCCAACCATCTACCTATGGTTTTATCTATCTATTGTTCCTTCCATCCATCCATCCATATATCTGTCTATAGTTCTATCCATCTATTTTGTTTTTTCCCCTCTATTGCTGCAAACAAACGGCTTTAAAAAACGATTTATCAAAAACTCAGTCGGCTCTTCTGACTTCCATTGCAACTTCTCCCATATTTTTTTTTTACAAGTGGTCCTCCTCTTTAACAAACCACTTCCTGTTATGCAAGGAGTGTGGCACCAGCTGTACGAGCCTTCAACTTCCTCGTCATGTAAGCCCTCTTATCCATCTCCCTTCTCTTGAAGGACTCTTGAAGTGTCTCTTTACCTCTTAAAAACACCAGGTTTTAGTTCTTGAGGTGCGCGTGTGCGAGGGCCCGTCCGATGGGACCTTCTTTGACTCTCGTGCGCACATGACATTTGCCGAACAGATTATGCAGTTAGTAATTTGCGCAATAATTACCGGGTGCTGTTGTCGTGGTGGCAGGGTGTGTCTAATTGTCTAACAGGACTGTAAGTTTGCGGGCCGCTCTCACCTCGTTAGGTCTCCTACCCCGTTCGCCGGTCCTCGTCTGTGATGAGCAGGGCTCAGGTGTGCTGGTTTACCTCCCCATTGAGCACGTTAAGCCTTAATTACAGGGTAGAACAGGGGAGGAAAGAGGGGGGCGGAATATTAACTGACTTCCTGTCAGTGACGGGCAGATGGGTTCTGTGGGGAACTGTGGGATTTGGATGCGTCAGCCACACGGACAGACTGAAAAACAGATAAACAGAGAGACAGGGAGGTCGTGGGTGGGTGAGGAACAAAACACTAATGATCATTACTCTGAGGGGAATTATCTAGAAACAAGGTGAATCCAGCTGTCGGTTTGATCGCGCTTTTGTGCCAGTCGTGTTGTATGAGGACGTCCTGGACTTGCTCTGCTATGAAGTCTACGTTTGTGTTTTGTGCTATCGATTTGTTCCCTGCCAGTTTTCTCCCGGTTTTGTGCTGGATTGATTGTCTAACGTGGAGTTTTCCCTCTCTTTGTCTTCTCTTGCAGATTCTTTTTGAAATTCTTCCTCAAGTGTAATCAGAACTGCCTGAAGAATGCAGGAAACCCACGGGACATGCGCAGATTCCAGGTAATGTTTTCTTTTTCTCTCCACACACACACACATTCTAATGTGAAAACAGGTCGCTTGCTGGGGTAGCTGTATGGTGTATCGCTTGATGGATATATTTAAACGTCTCCTCCAGAGATGCTTCGATTCTACAATTCTGCTGAAGCACATTCCAAATGTTATGCACATAAAAATAAATCTTCAGTATCTATCTATCTATCTATTCTGTCTGTCTGTCTGTCTGTCTGTCTGTCTGTCTGTCTACAATTCTATCTATTGCTCTATACATATTTTCTTATGTAAAGGTCGATGCTCCACAAATGTATCTGCACTATATCTATCTATCTATCTATCTATCTATCTATTATGGTGTGTAAATATCAGATAAATGCCCTACTGCCGGTAGTACCTAAAGATCCCTGTTATTATGGCACATTACTTAAAAAGCGGAGGTTGCCCCTTAACACTGGACAGGGACGAGGTTTGGCATTTTTACTACAATAGTAATCAAATAGGAATTTCATTTGGGGATGTAGTTTTGGACCAGTGGAGCATTTTGAAGGATTGCATTAAGGTCATCTTCTAGCCTGTGACCTGGTCACACCATTGCACCACTCCTAGCTTGCTATCTCAAGGGGAAATGGATGCTTTTACAGGGATGTGATTTACAGCTTCTGGTGCTCTAAGCCTCATGTCTTTTATGTCTGCTTTCAAATCCATGACTACTGCTGATAAAACAGCATTTTGTTGTGGAAATGACAAGGATTCGCTTTAGGTCCCAGAGTCCAGAAGTATGTTTTTTCTTGAATTATCCACAGAATGATAACAGCCTTTTTTTCTGCTTGATTTTAAGTTAGTAAACACCTCAAAATCTCAGTTAAGACTCTGGAAAAACAACAAAAACTAAGTACCACCAACAAGTTTCTACTGCTAATTGCAATGTCTATGAAAACTTCTGCTTTGGTTTTAAAAATGTTATATGTCATTCTATCATCCTATCATTCAGTCTATCTATCTATCTATCTATCTATCTATCTATCTATCTATCTATCTATCTATCTATCTATCTATCTATCTATCTATCTATCTATCTATCTCTGTCTGTCTGTCATTCTACAATTCTATCCATCACTCTATACTTATTTTCTTATGTAAAGGTCTATGCTCCACAAATGTATCTGCACTATATATATCTACACTACTTTCATTAATTTATATACCTCTATTTCTATGTGTTCCCATTCAATCACAGAAGGCATTATTAGATAAAGTACACAGAAAGGCCTCAGCCTTGGACTTCATTACGTGTGTGTGTGTGTGTGTGACAGCTCCGCTTAACCCAGTGCTGCGAGGATGTGTGTTTATATACTTGTGGTTATATAGATGTATTGTCGAGTGGGCAGCAGTGGTGCAGCCGTTTGCACAACTTTCATTTTTCATGCTTTGGAACGTCAAGTGTCTTCACTGATATTGATCCATGCTTCCAGAGCAGAAGGTCAGAGCCGGCGAGAGAGGAAGTGTCCTTTCTGTCTGCACGCCGAGTAAAAGAAACATCCGTCACCGCGGATGTGCCTCCCCACAATAAAGTCACTGGACCTCTCTTTCTCTCGCTGTAACAGCATGTCTGGGTTTTCAACCTTTTTACACTTCTCTGCCTCAGCACCTGGATTAGGTGTGTGTGTGTATGGAGAGCCATACTAATGCCACTGTATCTTCAAAGAGCACTCGTTTCTGTTCGTTCATTCACTCTGACTTCTCTCTTCTCCACCAATCGCTGCCTATGGAATCTGTTCTTATCTCCTCAAAACTTCCTTCAAGGAAATATCACCCTTCACAACCAAAACATTCCCTTCTACACTCCACATTCTGCTGTTTTTACTCCAAATAATTTAAACAACCCTGCGGGGAGAGCTTATGACAGCATCACTTTTTTGAAATCATAATCAGCAGACAATTCCAACCAAAGGCAGCCTGTGAGACAAATGACCCAAAGCCGTGATGCCTGTCAGTCTGTGAGCAGAGTCCATTAACAAGACACCTCTCCTCCAGCACTAACCCTTAAACTCTGCTCTGCTAAGCTAAATGCCACCTCCAGAATAAATTTCACTCATGTTCCTTTCTCCATGATCTCATGGCAAGGTCGTGCTTTTGGGGTCCCTGTCTTCCCCCATTTGCCATTCCATTTTCTTTTTCTTTTTTTCCTGTCCTGTCTTTTCCTCTATTTTTCCTGAGAGAAGTATACATCTAGAGGTCTATTCACACCATCTCTTTTTGACAGGACAGACATTTACAATTGTATTTAATGCAAAAAAGGCTTCTGAACCTAATTCAATAAAATGTAACTGCCATTAGTTTCGGCTTTTTATATTCACTTAGTTTTTCTTCCTATTCCAAAGAAGTATTTTGTTTTTTAATTATATTTAAAATAATTATTTATATTTTGTTCAACGGTTAATATTATTTAACTAATAATTTGTTTTATTTATTACTTGTTATTTATATTTATTTATCATTATTACTTCATTTAGTATTACATTTTTGTAATAATTGATACAATAAATAAAATGAATTAATTTAATAAAATTAAAAAAATTATAAATTAACATTTTTGTTTAAATTGTTTTGATGCTGACTAATTGATTTCAGTATCCAAACAATTTAAACTGTATCTATCGTTTTTCTTTTTTTTTATTCAAAATTGATTTTTTTAATTATATGTACTTTTAAAATTATTTTACAATTGATTTTTATTGATAATTATTACATTTTAAAATGTTATTCATTATTTGTATTTTTTATTCAGATTTTTTGTCAGTTGGTTCAGTGCTAAATAATTAATTTCAATATCCAAATGTTATCCTTCTCAATCAATTCGGCAATGCATAAAGTAGTTTGTGAACATTAATTGCGTCTTATTTGTTGTAAATAGGCCTCAAGTATCATTCTTATCGTGACTCTTGATTGTGAATGTGACAGAGGGAATATTCCAGATTGTAACTGCTCCACTTCTACCTCGGACCCCCCACAATACGGCAGCCCACCCCATCCGGCCCCTCTTCTCATTCAGATGCTAAACAAGCCTAATTCTCTCAATGCAACTGTATGGGCAGCCCTTTAGTAAACAGATCAACAAAAACAAAGAAAACCCCCTCATCTGCTACCAGAGGGTCTCTTCTCAAATTATCTTTTTCTTTTGAGGATCTGCCACCCTTCTCCATCACAGCCCTTACTCAGGCTGTGACTATTAAGATAAAACAGCTAATCAATAAATCTATAGATCAATGTAATGGGGTGAGCTAGCGATCTGTGGGCCGGAGGCTGCATTTGAGTGGCTGCTAATGGATGATGGAGCAGATGAGAGACTCTCCGCTTATTTCTGTTCACCTTAAGTGGCAGATTAAACACTAATTGTAGCCTTTTGTGAAAAAAAGCCACAGTGCTTCAAAACGGAGGCCTCTCTTTGATTGACAAGGGCTTGGCTAGTTCTTCTCAGACAAGCCTCTCGTCCTTTATCTAACACGCGCACTCATGTAACCGCCCAAGTGTCTCCTTTAAATAGGAAAAAAAGAGGCTCTCCTTCTTACAAAGGTTAATTATATTCTTCAAATGAGAAATTAAATGTGCTTTATATAGAGTTGATTCCTGCACGGCGCTTCGTTTGGAGAAAGAAATACAACGACCTATTGCGACCGAGGACCAGAATAAGACCATGTTAAACATTTTTCACCTTCATTAAGCGAATTTGATTTAGTGTTTGACACATATAGAGTTGATTCCTGCACGGCGCTTCGTTTGGAGAAAGAAATACAACGACCTATTGCGACCGAGGACCAGAATAAGACAATGTTAAACATTTTTCACCTTCATTAAGCGAATTTGATTTAGTGTTTGACATCCAGAATTAGTGTACTCCATTTTTGGAAAAGTACAAAGTGCTTTATAATGGGTCTTGAGAAATTTCAAGGCCTGTTTGGAAACATGTCGAATGCGTGCGCGCTAATTTAAAGTGAACGTGTTTATTTGGATTGAGCCGTAGCTAACAGTAGCCTGTTCGAATTCAGGCTGGGTCATTAGCAGTCAGACGGCGTGCCAACTTACACGAAGCGTATTGAACCGCGCAAGTCATCTTTCGTTGCTTAAGGTGTGAAAACAGACTCTTTTTTTCGGATTATAGTGATATAACTTATTGTTTTAATAATGTGAAGCCCGCGGGGAGTAGTTCCACCAAACCTAGTAAGACTGCAAAAGCGAGCAACTTTTCCCTTGTTTCGCCCCCTCCTGCTTGGCTTGGAAAATAAACAATGGACACAGGTTCAAGCTCCAGTGCTTAGCGAGGCAAATGTGTTTGCGGTTATTGTTTTGAAGGTGCGGAGTGTTCGCACGGTTGTCAGCATTCAAAATAAAGCCTCGCTGGTACGGAGGAGAGAAGTCTAACAAACAAAGCCACGAACGCGGTGTGTGTGGCGCGTGTGCGTCCGTGTCCAAAGGACCCTACTGATCAGAGCCGGGTTCATCCGCTAACTGTACTGAGACCAGCTCTCATGTTGAGTCGACACCACAGGCCAAAAAGGCTTTTTGTGTTCGTTTTCTCACATATAAGACACACAACAAAGAGGGAGCTGAAAAAAGAGCCTCAGTTTCTGATAAAGACCAGCAGACGCCCTCAGAAGTGTTCTTCTTCTTGTTTCTCTGGCCTTTAAGTACTCAGAAAGGCCTCTGGTCAAAAACAGGCCTGATATTTTTTGGATGCCAAATGATTCATTTAGTTGAGTGAAGTATATTCTAAGTCTGAGTCTGTTTATATGAAGAAAAACATGAGCAACATGATTTTAATGTGAAATAATGGATTTCTACAAACTCAAATTGTAATACAGCTATCAACTGTAATTTATTTATTTTTAATGAAGGAGTTTTAATTTTGTTTAATGTAATTTATTTATGTATTTTTAATGGTTGGATGTTGAACAATTAATTTAATTAAAAATAAAGATTTTAATGTGAATCAGTGCATCTTTACTAACACTCACACCAAACTGAAACTAATGTACAGCATTGTTCTTTTTTTAGTTTTTGGAAGAATGCTTTTTGTCATTTTATAATAAATAATGTATTAAATATTATTTAGATGGTGAACAATTAAATTTTTAAAGGCCTATTGATAGCACTTTACTTAAAGCCTTATGTATAATGCATTATAAAGGTATTTATAATGTACGTTATATTGCATTAAATATTTTCATTAACAATTGTAACCAAAGTTAAAATAGTAGATTCCTGGTTACATTTGAAATTTGTTGTTTGTCATGTGTTTAATACTTTCTAAAGGTATGTTCAATGAATAGATAAGTGTTTTAATGTTTTATACTGTCTGGTTAAAATTATTCATGAGACCATTCAATGCATTATACGGTGCATTGATTAATGTATTACAAATACTTGTATAATACATTATATATAAAGGCTTTAAGTAAAGTGTTACCAACCTATTCATACCAAGTCAACATTTTATGAACTTCTTCACACAAGGCCCAATGTAGAGGCTGAACATTCCTTCAAACCATCTTTACGTTTTCTTCACAGGTCGTTGTATCGACAACGGTCAATGTGGATGGTCATGTGTTGGCCGTGTCGGACAACATGTTCGTCCACAACAACTCAAAACATGGCAGAAGAGCCCGCCGCCTTGACCCCTCAGAAGGTACGGCCACTCCTTATCTGGAGAATGGTAGGCACATTTCCCATAAACCTATTATTTGCCAAGCTTTTCTCACTTTCTCCTTCTGTTTTCCTGCCTTTCCCTTTTCCCTTTTTCACATTTTTAGCTCACATTCTTTTAGTCATCCACATCCGCCTTTTCTCGCTCATCCACAAAACATAGTAGTGCAGCTTTAGAGGAAACATCATCTTTTAGAGAATATTCATGCTTTCTCTGTCCACTGAGTAGTACTTTTAGAACTTTTTAGTTTAGATTTTTGATGCTACCTGATTAATTCACTGTTTATATTATTATGGATTGAATTTTTAGAGTTTTTGCTATTTTTATGAATGATTTTGGGCCACGTTTTTTAATTCTCTTCAGTTATATATGTCATATATTTTTTGGTAATTCTGAAGATTGTTTCTTAAATCAAGTGTGGTGTGATTTTTGTCACATAGGCACAGACAGCAAATCAGCACATGCTAAATATTTAATAAACACATTAATATGACATATTTTGTTTAATTTGAATATGCTTTCACTTTGCTACGTTTAATTCATTTGACCATGAATATTCCTACAAATTAAGTGCAGAAAATGCACTGATTTCATCCAGGCTAACACTGTATTTTTATACGAGTTTATTTTGCTTCTTGGAGGTATACAGCAAGTCACTGGATGGTAAAATTCAGATTTTGCTGCTTTGTTAGACTGAGCTGGTTTTGATCGCTCTACTTCAGTACTCAAATCTCTGGGCTAAGCTTTAAAACAGAACATAATCTCTGCTCATTTAAAAACATAACATTAGTATTTTCTTTGTCTTAATCAGTCTGTAATTACCATATCAACCAAAGCGCCAGTAATATTTAATGATGCAAGAGAAATTGCATCAAATCCCTGCTCGTGTGAGACAAAAAACCCAGCAAAAATATTTGTTTTCTATTTCCCGGCTTCTCGCATTAACGTCGGCGAAACGCAGTACAGAAGTAGCGTAATTGAACGTTTGTGCCCTGAGCGCTCGAGCGTTTGGTATGCTGACGTATTGTTTGTCTCTCTGCTGTAGTCGCTTGTTAGTAGGTGTGTTTTCCTTAGCAACCGCCTTTAATTAGGAGAGCAATTAAGAAGGTTGAGGCCTCTCCCCTCTTCTGCCTGAGTCCCGTGAGACCGAGAAGGAGAAAGAAAGAAAAAACACGGCCCAACCCAAACTCTGCTGAGGCTATCCTTCATCAAAGCCCGGTTTGCAGAGCCCTTTTTATTGTAAATCTTTTTCTAAGCTTCCATTACTGTGTTTACAACCATCCTATAGTTCGGATTTCAGTGGTTTTATTGTGCTTGGGAAAAGATTGTTCATAATTTGTGATTTTATCGTTTCCATCAAAACTTTCTATTGCTAGGCCTCGCATACGATATTCACAGAATGAATCCGTTCCCACTCGCTGTGAATTCTGACAGCACTGTAACAAGTAGTGGCGATATTCCTGACAACTCTTTTAAATTTCCGACTGTTTTAAAAGCTCACCTCCTCCTTTAACACCCACCGGCCTTGCAGACGCACGCTCTCACCACCTAGTTACCTGCTGTTTCACCCGCCCCGATGGCAAATTTGGGTCATAGTGAATATTACAGCTACCTATCTAATATCAGGCCCTTTAAGGGCAACTGGGGGGCTGTTAAAACGGAAATAAAGAGTTTCCTAGCGTCTGACAGTTGCCGAACTTGGCGTTTAATCACTTCTTTAAACTCGGGAGAACATTTAAAACTTATCATTCGGCCGAGAAGGAAACTCGAGAACCTGTCATCTCTTTCCATTCTGGTCTAGAAGTGCACACATGTACAGGATATATAGTCGTAAAATATAAATTCATCCATATTTACGGTCAAGCCCGGGCCTGCGCCGCAGATACGGGGTGGTTTAGATTAGAAACACATTCTTGAAAGTGATAAATGCAAGCCGAGAGAGCTCGAAAGCGGCCACGGGGAGGTCCTTCCGTTTCTCCTTTCCTCTCACACTTTTATCTAATCATCTAATTCAGGCGAATTTTCCCGGACAGTGAATTTACTCTGCCTTCTGATCTTCAACTTAAAGTAATTCCCTCTTGCATGGCCCAGCGGACCCTCACCGTTGCCGTGCTCTCCGAGCACATGAGCCCCTTTCATTATTTACAGCTGGAGAACAAAACCTGGGGGAGGAGAAAGAGGCGAGCACACACTATAGGAGGGTTTATTTTGCATTAGCGCCATTTAGATACGGCACGCAGAAACATATGTACGAATTCACACAGGCGCGAGTGTGCGTGCACGCACTCGCATCCAAAACAGCCCCATCTGCACATAGCCAGACACAACATACACAATCGACAGCCCCCTCCCTTGTCCAAAAGCACATATTCCCAAATTTGGAAACCACCTAGCGTTGGCTCTGCGAATATAGCGATGCGCAAGACAGAAAAGAGGAGGAAGACATTTAGAGCGAGCAAAAGAAAGTCTCTCTTGCGGTGCATGCACCCCCTCCAGTCTGGGCCTACAGCTCCGGGTTGATTTGCATACCAAGTGGCGGTAATGTTGTTAGGTTTATGCAATAAAGACGAGCGGTCGGCGTCTGTGAGGCCGTAGTCAGTTAGAGCGGACAGATGGGCCGACGTGAGGTAAGAGCTCTAATCCCATCAGCGCCGGGATCAGCCTGCCATCTGGACATCCCCTGCACAATTACAAGACATTTTACGCGCTGGAACAAAGGAAGGTTGCAGCAGGCAGGATGGGACCTGTTAGAGTGCCTCAATATTGGGGAGTGCAGCAAAGAAGGTGACAAACACGCCGGCCGTCATGTTGCCATGGAAGACGACTCAAGTCTGATTAAAGCTTCACACCAAGATGCCATGGTGTTCTGTAAACAATACACACGGGAAAACACACACACAGTCTTGCTTGTTGACCGTCCACTTCAGCCAGAGGAAGCCCGTCGAAACAAAGCCAGCGATTTCTCTGAGCTTTTAAATTAGTCAATACATTTATACATCCATGCATGCATGCAGATTCCTTCTTGGAATGCTAATTTTATATTTTAGTATTCGTTTTTATTCTCTTATGAACTTTACCACACTTTATTGATTTATAGTCTCAATAACATGCACATGTATACTGGATACAAATTTTTATAAATAGTAAGTGAAATGGTGACCATCAAAAATTATAAATATTTTATAAATACATTTGGAATCACATGATCTCTTTATGTTGCATGTGAGTGGCATCCAATTATTATCTTAGAAATAAATGGTTATTTTGCCATTTTTTAATTATGTTTGTGTAAAAATGCAATATTTTGTTGCAGCAATTAATATCATATTTTAAATATTAAATAATATAGTTACAATTTTAAATACTAAAGAATGTATGATTTACTACCACGACATTTTAATATCATATTTATTAAATATTGAATTTTAAATAAATAACATTTGTAATATGTTTAAATGATAAATGATGCTTAATATATTATCTTATATTTATACTTGTATTAACATTAAATATATAATTATATTAATAGTATATAAATACCCTATTATATTTTATATTTATTAAATACATTAAATATATTATATATTATATTATTGGTTCTAACCAATAAAAAAAAAAACATTTAAATGTGTTGTGGGGTACTCCATGTAATGTAAGTTTCTATCTCGAACACAGACCAATCTACATCCCCTGCTAAATTGTTCTCCCATGCTAAAACACGTTCCTGCCCGTCACTTCCTAGTGGAGTGCTGAACTTGGCCTCTTCGGGCCGCCATAGACCATGTCCGCTTTCTCCAATTTCCATCATCCGCTTGAGTGCATTTCGCACGTATATCATTAGCTGACGAACACAGGCTGTGTAATTCACTCCTTTATGCTTCCCATTCAACACATGTTCCCTCTCTATATTCACGCAGAATGTATGCAAATGCTCTGCGGCGGAGGGGCGAGAGGTCTGGCAGCCCTTTCTCTGGGATGGCGGGGGGGAGCGTTACGAATTCCGAGGCAATGCGTGGTGATCTCAGGCCACAGCTGCCAGACTGCCCCTCTCGTGGGCCTGTTCTCACCTCGCACACGCGCAGACACGCTCACGTGCGCGCACTCCTTTCCTTCTGCTCACCTACACAAAGTAAATTTGTTTACTGTAATTTTTGGTGAATGATTTGCTATAATTGGTTGCGCTGATGAAGGTCAGTCCCTATGAGGAGTCGTGTCTGTCTTTGGAGACTTGATCCTCTTTCAAACGCTCTGCCTGCAATTAAGAAAAGCAAATGTCATTCCCAAGCCTCAGAAATGAAAATTTGTATGAACTTATTAGCATGAAGTCAACAGCTCTAGTTAAGGGCAAGCTCCCAGTGTGTGTGTGTGTGTGTGAGCGAGCTCAGGGCTTCTGGTGCTCTGGGAGCTGAGAGGAATGAGTAAATATAACCTCCACTAGTCCAACATTAAGGCAAACAAAGAGAGCTGCCTTGTCTGGGCTGTTCTACACAACAATACCAAATGTTGATTAACTAGGGCTGCTAGAACAGCAAAGAGGCAGGAGAGAGAAAGACCTGCACACATAAGTGCTTAACCCTTCAGGTTTACCTCGTGTAACAGTCATAAATATATCATTTATTGCGTTATTAGTGGAGCTTATGAAGTACATGAACAAACCCCTAACCTTAAGTTTTAAATTTGGGCATGTAACGTGTCCCAGACCAGTGCCACGACTTCTGTTATTCACCTTGTGACGCATTAAACAGGCAAACAAGTAAAAGGACCCCAAGCCATAGGGATTAGACTATTATAGGGATTTTAGGGTCTCCTTAAAAAAAAAAAAATAATAATCATGTAAGAATTTTTATGTAGTCATATTTTATTATTTATGATATGATTTTAATGATTTTAGCATCCCCTTTTAAATTATTCTTAAAATATATTAAACATATTAATCAACAATGTGCTTTCAATATTATTTAAAAATATATGAATATCAAATTAAATTAATAATAATTTATAATATATACTTGTATTTATATAACTATTACAAATAATATATAATTTTAAATATAGTTTTATTTATATAAATTGTAACTATTTATAATATGCAATGCATATGTTTATAATTATTAAAAAAAACTGAGAGCAGCATGAGTATTTGGATAAGTGGTGTATTGAATATGTTTTGGTGATAAAATGATGTCAGAGTCTGTGAGCTGATGAAAATGATGTCAGACACTTTTAATGGAGGGGAGAGATTCTAAGCTGAGAGGGTTTCCAACGAAGCCAACCATTTTCTGTGCATTATTAATGATCTCCCTGAGACCTTAAAATCTAAAAGCACAATGCCATTGTTTTTCCCTGGAAAAGAAAGGAAGAGAGTGGGCAGGGAAAGGTGTAAAATAAAATGAAAACAGCTCAAGGTGAAGAGCTACTGTTGCGGTTGAATTGTTGGACAATATTAGCGGCGTGTTGTTGTATCTGTGCTCTCTTTGCACTGGAGTTCGTATTCAAAAGGTGCTTTGGAGGGGGTGGCGGAACAGAGTCAACACGGTGAAGAGGAAAAGCTGATCAAAGCGTGCAGCGCTAAGATGTTAACGGGGGGTCGAGTCGCCCTGGGCCTCTGACCGCTTACAACTGTGATAGCACCTTTCGACTCCGCTGGGGTGGAGGGGGGCAGTACAATAATGTATGCTAATGAGCCATTGGCTAACTTCCCGACAAAGGCGGGGTCAGAGCTACGGCCTCATTTTCTCATTTAAGAACACGTGTATGTCACCATTAGCGCGATTTCAAACATAAACCTACAAATCCCACCTCATCTTCTCTAAAATCTGATTTTAAAGACCCCAAAAAGTACTCATTACCAAAAGATAAGAGACACAGGGAGATAATAGGATTGGAAGAGAGGAGAAAGTTGGAAGTTTTTAAACCAAAGGCAAAGTTTGCGGATGAAAAGGCTCGACCCAATTAGCGGGTGCATGAAAAATCGAACCCCCGCTTTTCTGCGCTCTCCGCCCGTGCAACCTTTTGATTGACTGATCTCAGATCTGTGAAAGCCCGACAGATAAATTGACAGTCCTAGAGCGCACAGTGCTTAATCATCAGTAACGGCTGCATTTGGTCTAGCGTGTCTGGTGGTTTATCTGCTAGATGGGGGCTAGGCACATCAGTCGATGTTTTCTTTTCCCTCTCGTTGTGTTAGAGAACAGTTTAATGGGCGATTTCTACACGGAAGTGTTGATGTACGACACAGGCCTTTTGTCTTTATGTGGCCCAAATCATTCATGCTTTGTTTACTTTAGGGTTTGATTATCCTCAGCGTGAGAATGATCTGCATGTGGCTAGCGCATGTCCATACAAAAGCTGGATCCTGAGAGTTGTCCTTTTTGTCCTGTTATAAGCAGCTACCCCGTGCATAAAGGCCATTAGCCCCAGTGAAGGCTGGACCACTGGAGGAGCCACGGTCATCATCATTGGCGATAATTTCTTCGATGGACTACAGGTCGTGTTTGGCACCATGCTAGTATGGAGTGAGGTAAGACTTTGGCGTAAAACCATTTTTATTGTGCATGAGGTATTTGCCCAGCCATTTGTTTCTATAACAGCCTTCTAATGAATTTCATTAGATTCTATAAAAAGCGATTACGTGAAAACTGTGATTATACACAGTTTATGAAGCCCGGCTTCTACCGGTTTAATGCAATTATGCTGGCGTTCGTTTATTGTCTCTTTACATTTACTTTTTGTTCATTTCACGCCACATAAACATATAAATAAGAGTGAACTAAAGGGATGCCGAAGCTGCGTAGTAATTAGTTTGGAGCTAATAAAGACTTCAGGTTAGTGTGTTCCTTTATGAGTTGATAAAGCTGTCTGGCATATATTTGCCGGTTGGAGCCTCAACGAGCCAATCAGCATTTGTTTATTCGATTTATTTTATTATTTTTCTTTTCCTAGTTTAATCACAAGAGCAGATAAGGAGTTAGATAAACAAACTGCATGCTAAACAGCCCCACAATAAGTCCACAGAGGCCTCCGCCGTGTTCCTTGCCGAACCGTGAGGTCTTGCAAAACAATTGAACAATTAGGGGTGAAATATCTCAGAGGGGGAAAAACGAGCCAGGGAAAGCAAGGAAAACAGTGAAGGAAAGACATATGGAGGTGATTTTAGCAGGACTCCTGCCCCTTGGCCTTTCCTTGGCTCGGTGTAATCCAAGGTCTGTTTGCTGATGTTAACTTTAAAGCGAGGAGAAAAAAATGAAGTAGGTTTGCAGTTGGGTTTTGAATGGCTTCTCCTTGACAGGTTAATGTACCACTGTGGCCTTCGAATCTATTCAACAACTGGCACAATCCTAACCTAGTTTGGCAACTGTTTAAGAATGCCCTATTTCTGAGCTCTAGGTAAACAAAAACCCCTCAAACAACAAGAAACATTTTTTAAGGGTTTCATTGGATTCCAGTTGTTCAAAACAATGCAGCAATTGGTGCAGTTTGCATGGTCCTAACCAACTTTTCCCATTGTTTCTCGTAGCTCATTACGCCCCATGCCATCCGAGTGCAGACCCCTCCAAGACACATCCCGGGCGTCGTAGAGGTCACCTTGTCCTACAAGTCCAAGCAGTTCTGCAAAGGTGCACCGGGGCGATTTGTGTATACAGGTGAGCTTCAGTTGGTTCTCTCACATCTTTGGCTCCATCCTTAAGTGCTGAACCCCATCCGGTGTGGGAGGCATGCCTCTGTAACCCAATATCTCCTCCATTTTAGGCAGGGCAATGGAGTTGGGGGCAGCTGCCAACTCCAGTTAATCTCAAACCCTGACAACACATCTCCGACCCCTTTCTCCTGCACCCTGTTCTCTACTTTACACAAAAACACTAGTGTTTCTTGTCGCCCAGGTTACTCATGTGTGCATACCTATGTGTGACCAGCTCACAAGGTTGCGCTTTGTGCGGCTTTTGGGCCGATTGTGTTTTTACGTGGTCTTAGATGAGAGAAATCTTTCCCTCGGTACAGCTGATACTGGAGGTTACACGGTCACACCGTGTTTGACCTGGAAGCAGTGTGCCTGATCCCAAATTGAGTAGGACAATGAGATAATCATCAGGAATTACTCTCACACTCAGGAATGTCAAGGCCGACAGTGAGAGGGAGAGAGAGAAAATGACACAGAGAGAGAGGGAGGTGAGGAAGAGGCCCCGGTCCCCCCAGGCAGCTGTTCCCCATCTCAGCCCCACAGAGGCTGTGGGCCGATTCTCCCTCCCACATTTAACCCTCTCAGCAGGAGCAGGGCATAGGCCAACGAGCCCCTGCGATAATGAAACCTGAGAACACGAGGCCGGCTAATACCAGACCTGCTCAGACATTAATGTCTGCCATCGTTAAAGCCACAGAGACTCAGGGACCAAACATGTGCTAATGCTAATAAGCACAAAATAGGGAGTCTGTGTCAAATTCAGCACACATTATAATGTTTTGACGAGCCTGTACGTCATCGGCCCTAACAAAAACTGACTGTGGTAACCATAGATACCGATCATAGTAAAACTTGGGCTGTGTTCAAAATCAAAACAGCTGCTTTGCTGCCTAGTCAATCAATGGCTAAACATGCAGTGTGTGTGTGTGTTTAACAGACAAGTTTCTAAAGCACCGTCTTGTGTTCTAGATTTAAACCAATTTTAAGTTCTTTAGAGATGATCAAATATTTAATTACTTCAATGCTTAGCTGGTGTGTATCACCATAAATAATAACAAAATAGTTTATATAAACCGTATATACAGACATTTATACTGTATAATTATATTGCCTTCTCAAAGTTTACTGGAGGCCATTATAGAAGACAAACCATCATCTGTCAACCCCACCTTCCCCTGTCTTCATGAGTTGTTTGTTTTCCCTCACTGATCCTTGTTCCTGCTCATCAGTGAGGAGATATAATTACTGGCGGAGATTTTGAGGACTTAGTTAATTATCCCCTTGAATTAAAGGAGGGAAGTCACAGACTACACGCCCCGTCCCTCTCATCTTCTGAACTGCAATCCCCATAATGCCTCACCTCCCTCTCTGAGGTCACAAATGCAAATCAGAACACACACACAAACACACACACACACACACACACACACATGCACATGCTAGACTGGATTCAATCCATGCTGTTATAAGGCTTAATCAAACTGGTTGACATTTAAAGTCAATTAAGTTCCCCTTCAAACCATATTTATTAATTAATGTTCTTAAATATGTGACTATATCAAAAAACAGTTGTTGTAATTATTATTATTTTCTTTATTTTCTTCGTTCTACAGTTCAGTTTTTTCTTCTCCTCTTCTTCAGTTCTTAAACACTTGTAAGTGCTATCGATCGAAACAAATTGCTAGAGTTTTTGCCTGTAATTAGTTCATAAACAGATGATTTGAACTGGAAATGCTAAAAGCCTTCACTAGTTACAGCTTTTGCTCTCTTTCTCTTTATTTGTGGATATTTGCTAAATTGTGTAAAGGCTGGATATTTTACAAAGTCATTAAGGAAAAAAAAGTACAAACAGTGTTTTTGTTGGGCGTTACAACATTTCATGCTGACCAACCTCTTGTTTCTGAGTCAAACACACCCTCGCTGTCATCTGATAAATCACGGCCAAATAAATACAGTGCTGTGACCTCCTTATGCAGGGGCGTAGTACATTCAGATATGGCCTTTATCATGACTAGCTTACAGCAACCATCTGTTGAGTGATGTATGCTGTAATTTCACCATTTACTTAAATTGCTTTTTTAAATGCATATTTAGGAGGTTTATTTAAATATATATCTAATATTACTTTAAAATCATGATGCATTGGGTGCAGTTTAGGGTGAATTTCACAAAATACGTGCATATCACCCCTATGTGTGCATATTCATTATTTTTTAAGACTTTTTTAATGCATTGTTTTTTACAACAATTACATATTTCAGTAAAATTTGTGTAATACAGTGTTTAATTTAAATAATCATGAATAACTTAAATTGCTTTTTTAAATGCATATTTAGGAGGTTTATTTAAATATATATCTAATATTACTTTAAAATCATGATGCATTGGGTGCAGTTTAGGGTGAATTTCACAAAATACGTGCATATCACCCCTGTGTGCATATTCATTATTTTTTAAGACTTTTTTAATGCATTGTTTTTTACAACAATTACATATTTCAGTAAAATTTGTGTAATACAGTGTTTAATTTAAATAATCATGAATATAAGTAATACAATGATTATATTATAAATATAATCATTTATTTATTTTTTTGTTTATTCTTTGCATTATGGGGAAAATGTGCTTATGTCCGTGATGGCTTTTTGTGAGATTCCCTCAGAAAGCTTCATCGCCCTGTGATGGTGTCAGTGCTGAAGGTGTTGTAAAAGGTCCTTCGTGTTCGCTCAGATGTGGCTGCAATCGCCTGTCAGAGTGCCGTGCTACTTTAAGAGTCGATAATTCTCCTCCATCACGGCCAACACAAGCCGCCTGTCTCAGAGGTCAATGCTCTTTAAACAAATTACTCTGCTCAGACTCTGAAAGCGGCTCCTAATGTCCTCCGGTACTCTCCAACGCCTCTTTCTTTGACACAGCTAAACAGCAGTGAAATTAAACACGCCGCAGAGATCCACCAAGACCTGGAGACATTAAAGAGGGCCTGTGATGGGATGTCGGCATCCCGTAAGGTTACGCAAACGGGGCTCGGTAGTTTATGAGCTGCCAGAACTGGGCCTAAAACAATGTGTTATTCAATAGCCGTCCATTAACACTCAGATCTACCGCATGTGTGTGTGTTAGGGCTATTTACGGCTCCGGGTTCTTATCGTCTTCATTTAAAAGGAAACACTGCAGTGGTTTATTTAGTCTGTATCCCTTTGTATCCTTCAAAGATCTGTGTGTTCTGTTATTTTTTCAGCTTTATCCTTGTATATTTGTACGATCGTGACTTTTGTTAACACAAGGTCACTTGCTGCGCTATCTGATACCTGTATTGGTTATCCATTGATTAGGTCTGGCATGGAACAGCTTGTCAGAAGGGTCCATAAAAAAGGAAAAAAAATAAATAAATAAAAGCAGGACAGCTGTGTTTGTCCCTTTGCCAATAGCTCTCAACTCGCAAATGCTCTCTTTAGCTGATCTGGCTATTTTAAAAAGCCCATCCAGATGTTCGCTTTAAATTTCTCATGAAATGGCTTGATGAGTGCAGTTTTTTTCTTGTGTTGATGTATTTTCTATTGAAACAGGAATTTGGACCAGGACATATATTTAATTTTTAATAATATTAATTCTAAAATATTCTTATAATTTATATTAAAATAAAACATAACTATAAATATAATGTTTTTTATTTTATTTATTAATTAAATTTTTTTATGTATGTACCAGCATTTGGCTTCAGAATTTAAATTAAGATGGAGATTAAATATAGTTATTAAAAAGCTTTATTTGTATTTTATTGTGCACTTATATATAATAGTACACAAAGTACACAATAAAATAAAAATAAATATTTTTTTAATAACTATCTTTTTTTAATAGACAATACAAAATGATTTCGAATTTTGCCTTAAGCTGCTGTCAGAATTGCTTTTTTTTTCTTTGTCACAGAGCCTTTTTGGGAGACTCTGTCTCAAAAGTACCTTAAATATAAGCTGGTACATCCCTATCAACAAAATTGGCATGACAGAGTATACGTGAAAATACTTTCCGTCTGTCTCTATGACCCAAATTTGAAGGCAGCAATGATCTCCTTTGGCTCCTAACAAGGGGAAAGTGAGAGATATAAATTAAGATATATATGTATGTGAGCGCTCCAGCTCTAATAGACGCTTTAACGGAGCCAGGCCTCCTGAGCGCTTTTACAAACCATTCCGAATAATGACACCAGCCATAAATAAAGCTCAACGTCGGACTCTAATTGCATCAAAACTATTGCTTTCTATTTAGGCATGGTCACTGGTGACCACGGCCTTACCGCTCCACTGGAGGCCAGGGAGAGAAAGAGAGAGAGGAATAGAGACGTACGGCAGGAGCTATCACCCTTCCAGACTATTTGTCCTAATCAGTGACACCCATTTACCAGAATTGGTGAAAATGAACTATACTTCATACAGAAATCGTACATTTACCGGCCTTCATTTGTCACGGCACATTTGAGGGCCAGTAAACTTTTCCCTTCCTCCGATGGGATTGTAGACATGCATCAAAATGTTAAAAAATGATTTGCGAGGGAGGCCCGTCAGACATTTATCAGGGCTCGGGAATATTATTTGCTAATTTCCAAACCTGCGGCGTGACAGGGTGCTCCGTCTTTTAACCCGCCGTGACCGCTCTGGATCGGTTCTGTTATTAGTACGAGTCAAGCGTTTTTTTTGCTTTCCGTTTCTCGCTTTTTTCCTCTCCCAGTCTCAAGACCCCTCCTCTCTTTTTTGGCCACTTCTAACGAGACTCATTTGTCTATCACGCCGGTGACAACGTCGCCCCATTCGACTCCCTGAGACTTTGACCACAGCGTGCTCTCGGGCTCTCCAAGGGCTCCGAGCTCCCGGCCTGTTGATTGGCCGGCGGCCCTGATAAATCACAAAGTTTCCTTGTCAAGGTGAAGGTATCGACTCAACTGCGCCGAAACTGACAAAACGCACA